ATTTATATTTTTTTTCAAAACAAAGCAGAGTGTGTATGACGTCATCCACGCGCGCCGGACTGAAGTTGTCACAGGCATCCTGGGCCACAGGTGGCTACGCTCTACGCCTTCTATTCATTCGGCTAGCTAATCTGAGTCGTTCAATTCTATTTCAAGAGTGAGATCATCTGTGATAGTAGCACTAGACATCTTCCAGGCATGTGAGTAAAACTAGCAGTATTTCAGTGGACAGGATGAATGAATGGCAGCTAACCACTCGTTCATTGGAAAACCACAATCTGCCAGCCCATCAGTGTGACTTATGGGCTTGAGCTCGTTCTCCAGGCGGCCACAGGTGACCCATCTTACAAATTACCAGTGAGGCAAACTATTATGAGGAGAATACATCACCAGCATGCCGCTTAGAAAGTTGCGAAAGATGAAAAGTTAATTGAGGCGACATGTGTCAGATTTTTGGAGACACTATATTGTTAAAAAGTAACAAACGAACATTTAGCTATTTCTGTCGTATACATTACTGGCTGTAAAGCGTACTTCTTTTAACAATCCTAACATAGAAAGTATTTATGGATCAGTGCCTCTATATTCCCTTTGTGTGTCTCCTTCTGTCTACTTGTACCCCATCCAGCCTCAACAGAAAGCCATTCACATTGAGCATATTTCTTTTGGAGATGTCTTCCTCTTAAAACAGAATTTTTCCTCTTTACTGTGGTTAAATGAATGCTAAGTATAAAGGCCGGCTGAAGCCTTAACAAAACAATACATGCAAATATCTGGTGTCATGTAATTCTTACCCAGGATCAGCAAATACTGCAAAGTCAATGACTCCATGCAATTGGTTGTTTTTACTTACATAGAACACTTTAAACCGAACTGACTATATGCTCTGATTGAACTGTCATTGTATTGTATATATTAGCAGAAGGATCACCCAGACAGCAGAGCCAAGGTGAGACAGTGTCCAGGAGCTCAGAGAGGAGCAGTGAGATATTAAAGCAAAAACCTTGGTAAAGAATGCCTCAAATGGGGCAGAGCCAACATCTGGGCGGGGCCAGCACTGGTGCCATAGGCGGTGGTTGGCCAGGGTCTGCACTGGACCTAACGGAGGTCTACAAATGATTAATGATTTAACTCTCTTTCAATGATTAAATTTAAAAAATCTTTAAAGCCAGCTGTCAACCTCTTAAGAGCATTTCTAACTTCATTTTTTGTCAAACTAATTTTTTAAATCTTTCATTTTGATTGAAAAGGCTTGTCTCTTCTGAACTTCATCATAGGTCACAGCCAAAACTAATGCTTGATTGGTTGCCGCAACATGACACAAAAGTTCCGATTCAGATTGTAGATGTCACATCACTGTAATCAGCAAAAACATGCCTGTCATGTCACTAGAAAAGCATCCATCACATCGCTGTGATTCACAGCACATTTGAGCCAACATGTAAATCTATGCGGTGGCACCTGTAGATGCAGTGATATGGTGCAATATGCTGTCCACTTTGTTGGTTCTGATAGATTCAAGATTTTAATTTTTTTTTTTAGAAATCTCTAGTACATTAGAATAATACAAAGCCTGCATCACTTTTAGGAGTAGAGACAGGATAAGGGAAGTTAAGATAGAAGGTGACTGTGCTCTTTCACATGTCCTCAAATGTCTTTTTGGATATAGCCAGAGTATTAACCTACAGTATTTAGGCAGATTCTTACCCACTGCATCATTTCAAGGAAGTACTAAAAACTGCTTCTCTTCAGCATAAAAACTATTTCTCATTACGATTTATCTACATACATTTATCTACAATACTGTCTTCATTTATTAACATGGCCACACAACATTTTCTTTTTTTTTAGACTGGTTTTGAGCTGTCAGTGTGCATAACTGGTTGCCTTCCACTGACTCCTTTTGACAAGTCACAGGATGCCTAGCAACCATACATGCTGAGAGGGTCTGCTCTGAAGTGTTTTCCTATTTTTCTTTAGAAGCAGTAAGCCAGTAAATACTTTTGACTATAAGCAGAAACAAGAATCTAACATAACACAAAAACATACTTGCAGAAAAACTGAGCACTTGGGAAGGGGGGAGAAACATCAGTGTAGAATCTTAATTAATCTAAAGCAGCAGGTGAACAATGAATTTTTAGTAAATATCTGAAGAACCCCTCTACATGTGGTAAAAGGAATCTGAAATGTAATCTCTAACTTTCCATTTGCAAGTCAAGTATTCCTCCCATTGAGCCACAATCATCCCCTTAAAGAAAGATACTGGATGAATTAAATGGCCCAGTCAACAAACAGTTTGAAGTTTGCAGACTCTAGATGTAGGAAGAAAAGCAGCAATAACTACATCCAATAAGAAACACACCCTGTCCTCATGTTAGAGAATACCTCAAAGCACAGGCATTGTAAAAAAAATAAAAAATAAACAGTGGCCAACTAAAGAGAATCTATCCATCTTCTCCTGTTTATTCTATCAGGGTAGTGATGGGGCTGGTAGTCTATGCCCGTGAGGCAGGGTAAACCCTGGACATGTCGTCAGTTTGTTTTAGGGTAACACAGAGACACACACTCACACCTAAGTACAATTTAGAAAAGCAAATTAACTTGACATTCATATTTCTAGACAGTGGGAGGAAGCCCAATACCCAGAGAGAACCCACGCATATGAAAAATTCCATTTCATGTTAAACTTGGCACAATGTTAGGCTTAAAACATGAAAGGGTAGAAATCAGGGAAGCAGCAGCTTTCTGACATGAGTAATTTGGAAATTGTTGGATAGACCATTCACATGGAGCAATATAT